TGGCTGTGTGACTGTACAAATCACTAGCCTCTGTCACTACCTGGGCTGGCTGTGTGACTGTACAAATCATTAGCCTCTCCGGGCTTTCCTTGGGAGTGCGGTGGCTCTGTAGAATAAGCACTGGACTTCAGACCATAAGGTTGGTGGTGCAAGTCCACCAGCTGTTATGCAGGAGAACAGTAAAGATTTCTGCTCCTATAAAGATTTAAAGTTGTTATGAGTCAGAACTGACTCAAAAGCACTTAACAACAGTAACGGGGCTTTAATTATAAAATAAGCAGGATGGATTAGCTGATTTAAAGATGCATCATTCTTTGAAGGACAAGACTTTTCCTTTGATGCCAGAAAGTAAGCTCAGAAGAATGTGTAAGCAGTTGAGGAGGACAACATAATGAGTGGATGGGCGGTGTCTGGAGACACGTAGAGCCTCAGCTGCCTGACTGCCTGCTGAGAGGTCTCCCACAACAGTGACGCTCCTCTTTTGGAAGAAGGACAGATCGTTTTTGGTCTTTCTGAATCCACTCTGTAATTCCATAAATAGGACAGTGGAATGTAAACCATGCAGACTGTAAATCTTTACAGAAAGCAAACAACTTCTTTCTCCCTCAGAGCAGCAGATGAGTTTGAACTACCAACCTTGTAGTTAGCAGCACAATGCATATCCTACAGTGGCACCAGAGCTCCTTATTTAATCCAAGGCAGTGGGAAGGTACAAAAAAATTATAATGACAAAAAAATAAAGGCTGTTGTTGTTAAGTGCCATCGAGTTGGTTCCGACTCATAGCGACCCTGTATAGGGTTTCCGAGGAACAGCTGGTGAGCTTGAATCACCAACCTTGCTGTTCAAACTGACCTTGTAGTCCAGCACATTAGCCTGCAGCACCACACCAGGACTCCATTTGTGACTCTAGATATGGCTTATCTATGTTAAAGATGTCATTGTAGCTTATCAAAACATTGTCTGTTGTTTTACAATATTTAGTAGTCAATTTTCATGCTGCTCTAGATCATTTAATAAGAAAAATTATGAATCTTTTGAAATAGGAAGTTTTGAATAGGAAGTTTAGTAGGTGACCACTTATATTTTCTATTTCTTCTATAGGAGGAGGAGTTTTGGCCCACACAATATTAGGAGTAGCATGGAATGAGATAACAGGGCAGATAAAATTTCTGATTTTAGATCCACATTATACAGGAGCTGAGGATCTACAAGTTATTTTGGAAAAGGTAAGTATCTGTTAATTTCTTCAGTCTTCTTTGTAGTACCTGAGTGTGTGAGGCATTGTCCTAAACACTAGGCTGATTCTAACAGGTCTTGAAGTAGCTATTGGTCTCTAGTGTAGGAAGACAGAGAAGGAAAGTCCATAAAAGATTCCCAAGTAAAACAATGTCAGGTTAGGTGGAGGTTATGACAAGGACATGTTTTGAGGCAGTGAATGGAAACAGGGCGTGTTGTGGGAACATCAGGCAATGTGACTAGAGCATATGAAGAGGTGTGTCTGGACGGTTAGGCAGCCACAGGAAGTGTAGTCACTGTGAGGGAAGCCAAGGCAATTAAAATGTATTCTAAGGCAGTGAGAAGTCTTCATTATTTTAATAGAGCAAGGCATTGTTGCTGATAACGTACACTGAGAATTGCACTCTCCTTTGGAACTGCAAAAAAAAAAAAAAAAAAAACCTTTGTACTATCAGCACATGCAAGACATCATAAACCGAAGCCTGGATCATCAATAGAAGCGTATTGACTCTAACACTCTAACATGACTGCAGGAATTTGTTGTTAGGTGCCTACTCATAATAACCCTATGTACAGATGAACTAAACTGCCCAGTCCTTCACAGTCACTGAAGTTTGATTCCATTGTTATAGCTACTTGTTCAGGCCATCTCACTGAGGGTCTTCCCCTTTTCTGTTTACCCTCTACTAAGCATGATGTCCTTTTCCAGGGACTGGTCCCTCCTGATAACATGTCAAAAGTACGTAAGATGAAATCCCACCATCCTTGCTTGTAAGGAGCATTCTGATTCTGGCTGTACTTCTAGACAGATTTGCTGCAGGAATTTAGGGTGCCATAATGAGGACTTTGCCTCTGCCTGACCTCCCTGTACCCTCTTGTGGAACTGAATCTGAAGTTTCCAGACCAGTCAGTCACATCTAAGAAACAAGCATGGCTCCCTAATCTGGATTGGTACCCTCCCTACCCAGTTCTTGTTAAAATTTTGGATCTGGTTACTTAGAAATGGCCTACATGTCTGAAAAGATCAAAATAGAAACTGCAGTGGTGTCGCTTTTAAAATATTTGTTAAGAAAAGAGAGTTTAGACATTAAATTTAAAAGTTTTGATGGGAAAAAGTAGATAGTAAGTAGAATGTTATTTATGTGTAGAAACAGCTCAAAAGATAATAATTTGAACTCAGTGGGGAAAGGAAGGAAGGGGTTGATTCAGTGGGAGCTTTAAAAAACTTTTATCTTTTTGAATTTTTGCAACATCTATCTTATTTTTAGAATCATAAAAAGAAAAATGAACAAATAAAAAAGAGTATCTTTACTCAACTCTCTCCTTGCCCCACACTAAGAAAGGATGCCCCACACATCCCATTACATAGTTTCTCCCACTGAGCGTTCAACTCTAGGTCGCTTCCAGAATACCCAACAGCTTTAGCTAAGTGAGGGTAAGGAATACAACCATTACTCTCACTAAGAGTCCTCAGTTGCCCTCATAAGTATTTTTCAAACAAAACATTACATCTGAGCATGATATCATATAACCCAGACCAGTCTCCAGCTGGGTCTTTAATAAATCAGTGCCCCTAGGAGAAATTAGATAAATTGATATATTCATAATAGGATTTTGTTTGAAAGTATTTACTAAGGAAAAAGGATTAATGATGACTTGAAGACTGGAAAGAAGAATTGGTGATGGTTGGTTGGTTATCTGCCGTGGAGTTGATTCTGACTCATAGTGACCCTATACAGGGTTTCTGAGGCTGTAAATCTTTATGGGAGCAGAAAGCCTCATCTTTCTCCTGTGGAACAGCTGGTGGTTTTGAACTGCTGACCTTGCGGTTTGCAGCCCAATTTGTAACCACTACACTACCAGAGCTCCTTGAATTGGTGATATCCTGAGGAAAATGAAATACAGCAAGCTCAGATTTTTCACTACCATTTTTCACCAGATCTGAGATGCCATTGAATGGTACATATTACATTCTTTTCTGGAAAGAAAAATGAAGCTACCAATTAAACTGTCATACATCACAGATGCCGGAGTTATAAAATCATACACTGTAGAATAAGAGAGAGTATTTTGAAGTAACAGTTATTGGAAGGAAGTGTTTCTTTTTTGTTTATGATTTCTATGACTAAATATTATAGAATTAAAAGTTTAAAAATCTATCTTAAATAGACTCGGTTATTTTTCTATGCTGAGTTGGAATTCATATCTTTGAATTATATAATCATTAGGAGTTTTATTCCAAGATTCTGCTGACAGAACCTCTTGTTACTACTTAGACTATGTAGTCCTGTAATGTTATAAAGATTTTACTTTCATTCCTCCCAAATCTAGGGCTGGTGTGGATGGAAGGGCCCAGACTTTTGGAACAAGGATGCTTACTATAATTTATGTCTTCCTCAGCGGCCACAAATGATTTAAGATACCTGGGACTCAAAGACTGTCACAAAGTTAGACATTTGTTAATAAAGAATAAGTTTAATTTCAAATTTTATTCTGGGTGTAATTAATTGTTCAACTATGATATTTTCTCAAAGTTTAGATACTGAACAAAGAAAAGAATTTATTCTTTAGACATTTCTTTAATAACTTAAAAAGACAAAGCATGTACAAACAAAATATACGCATGTAGATACATGTATCCTTAAGAGTTCTCTTCGCTTGGAAGAACATTTTCCTCCTTAGAAGGAGTTTAGACAAACACTGTGAGCCAAACGCCATAGCTTATAGCTGAGCAGTTGTTGTTGTTGTTGTTGTTAGATGCCATCGAATCGGTACTGACTCAGTGCTGAGCAGTAGGTTTCCTTAAGTCCTCTTCAAATCCCTCCATAGCCAGGATGACATCTGTTTTTAAAAAACATGATATACATTGTTATTGTTACTTGCCATCACTTCCAACTCTTGGTGAGCCCATGTGTATAGAGCAGAACCACTCCACCAGTTTTCAAGGCTGTGGCCTTTTAGAAGCAGATCACAAGGTCTCTCTCCCAAGGCACCTCTGGCTGTGTTAAAACTATGAACCTTTCAGTTAGTACTCTAGCACTCAGCCATTTGCACCACACAAGAACTTTAATAAACATAACTTTTTTAAAAGCTTTTGTTCCCAAACTTCTGCCACAAGGGCAATTTTTGGTCTTTAGAATCTCATGGTGATGGTGGTTGTGTGCCGTCGAGTCAGTCTGACACATGGCAATCCTGTATAGAGTTTCTGAGGCTGTAAATCTTCACACGATCAGAAAGTCATATCTTTCTCCCAAGGAGTGATTTGTGCATTCAAACTGCTGACCTTGCAGTTAGCAGCCCAGCATGTAACCCACTATGCTACTGGGGCTCATTCTAGAATCTATTAGTGGTAACTAACCAGTATCAAAACATTTTAATGAGAGTGAAAATATGCACAAGAAGGAAATATGCCAATATTTATGTGAACATTAAATTGTATGGTAACGTACAAGATGAGAAAGGATGAAAGAAAAAGCTATAAATTACTTACCAACACTTCCTTTTCCCGTTTGTACTTTCTGTACTTCCAAAAGTTCGTTTCTGTCTGAGCACTGGAAAACAATCACCTCTATTGGATGATTTACTTGATTTTATAGCCTGCATACATTTAATACTTGTAAGAAAGTTGGCGCACTCTAGAAATCCACTTGCCCAAGCAAGATCTTCAGCTGTTTGCCCATTCTTATTACATAAACTAAAATTAAGACAAAAATTGAGTTAAATAAAAATTGAGAATTGATTAGCACTTTTTCTGTCTTCGCAACAAAAGAGTTTTGAGCTCATACATTAGTTGCAGAATCAAAAATGAAAAGGAAGCATAGTAAAATTTCATTTCTGTACACTTTTGTATAATGACTAGCATAGAGTTTGTCACCTTGTTAGGTACCATCGAGTCGGTTTGACTCAGCAACCCTATATAGGGTTTCCAGGGTTATAAATCTTACTGGGAACAAATAACCTCATCTTTCTCCCACAAAGCGCCTAGTGGGTTTGAACTGCTGACCTTGTGGTTAGCAGTCCAATGCTTATCCCTTAAATCAATCAGGTAGCACTGTTTTTAGAAGCACCTGTAATTAAACCTCATTAGTCTGATTATTGTAATGTAAGAAGACAAAATTTGAAGCCACTGATTTTATACTTACTCAATTTGGGCATCTCTGGCTACAAGCAAGCTTAGGCATTCCAGACTCCCAACTTTTGCTGCCTTGTGTAGTGGAGCTTCTCCAAAAACATCCTGAAAGATAAGAGAACATTTAAAATGTGGAGCAAAACTAAAAATTCTACTTAAAAAGACTGCGCTTACTGATCCGAAACAGCCTGGAGGAACCCAAGACTATGACCCTCAGACACCTTACAGTTCTGGAATGGAACTCAACCTGATGGTACAATTTTCAGCCAAGAGGCAGGTAGGTATATAGCAGGGACATTAATACTACTACTAAGGTATGCTCACCATGGCATGATCAACCATTCAAGATCAAAAGGGCATTATTTACCTAAGGACAAAGTTCAGAAGCGTTGGGAAGGAGAGTGGAATAGAAATAAGAACCACAGGGAGGAAGTGGAATAACTATTATTACATGGAGGGGATTGTGATCATTGAGATCAAACAAAGTGTATGATTTGTTGAAAGTAAAACTGATGATCGGCTCTGTAAATCTTTACTCAATTCACAGTAAATATTAAAAAAAAAAAATGTTTAAAGTACCTTCCCAAAACACTATCTTGCAGAAAGTTAGTGGATCAAGTTTAATAGTGGCAATTTGAGGAAGTCAGTTATAACTGCATAGCATCAGACTGAATTTCTTAAATCAAGCTTCTATTTTTCACTAAGTTTTCTTAGTGTGCTATTTCATATAGTTTTAGTTAATAAAAGCATTGTGTAGTCATGTCTATATAAAAATTTAAGAATCAAAGCAAGGTTCCACAGAAATTTAAAAAAACTCACTAGGTTTTATTGTAGAACTCTAGGAAAATACAATGATTATAGGATGCACAAGTATTTAAACTGTTACATTGAAAGTTTTAATTTGGTAATTTAGGAATTACGCTTTTTGAAATAAAGTATAGACCTACTCTGTCCAATATGGTAGTCAGTAGTCATACATGACTTATGATCACTTGAAGTGTGGCTAGTCTGAATTAGGATTCGTAGTGTGGATAAACACTGGACTGCTAATAACAAGGCAGTTTAAACCCATCAGCTGCTCCTTGGAAACACTATACAAGGTTGCTGAGTCCACAGTACTTAACAACAGTCTGAACTGAGATGTGCCAAAAATGTAAAATACATACCAGATTGGTGAGGCACAGTATGAAAATAAGAATGTAAAATATCTCAATATTTTTACATTGGTTACATGTTAAAATTACATTTTTGATAATTTGGGTCAGATGACTAAAACTAATTTCATGTTTATCTTATTAATGTGCATACTAGAAACATTTAAATTACAAACATGTCTTGAAATATATTTTTATGGGTCAGCGTTGCCTTAGACAGGTTTATAGCAATTGAAACAACTGAACATTTTGGCGTTTAAGCAATGTTTGTGTAGATTTGGGGTGGAGGGGCGGGTTGCACATAGAAACAATCAGTTACCTAGTTACCTGTTGGTTGAGGTCAGCGCCCGTTTGTAGCTGCCACAAAAGCAAGCAAGCAAGGCCACCACCAGCGGCCAGGTGGACCGGCGACTGTTGGCAGGGATCCGGGGGCGCGTTCACGGAGGTCCCCGTCTCCAAAAGATGCTGCAGGCTGTCGATCTGTGTGGGAAGAGGACAGGTTCAGCATTCCTCTCGTCCCTCTCCACTATCACACCCTCTCTGGGTTAAAAACTTCCCCCACTCCAAAAACCTCGCTTCACAGACCAGGCTGGACTCGTCAGTGTCTAGTGGTCAGTCCACTGACACCTCCTGAAAAGACATACATCTGGAAGCTTAAACCTGCAGCATAGAAGCGACCCGAATCTCACCTGCAGGTTGCAATCAAGCAACAGCATTTTCCACCCAAAGCAGAGACAGGAACCAGAGAAGCACAGTCGCGAGCAATCTCTGCAGCCAGGCAGGTAAGCGAGCACGCTTCTGCCAAAGTACAGAACTTGTAAGTAAACTAGAGGCCGCAGGCCCGCCCATAGCCTCAGGACCCCAGCGGCCCAACCCTTAACAATCCAAACCTCTTCTTGCACTGCCAAAGTCGCACGTACACAAACATTGGCACGTGCAACCGGTAACCCCAAGAGACAAGGGCGGGGAAGCAGACAAGAGGCTGTGGTGCAGATGCGCTCGCCGATTGGCCAGCTAGGGCACTACCTAACCCGCCCCCTTCAAGGAGGGGCTTTAAATGCACCACTAAGCCGTAGCACGCAGGCGCCGAGAAGGTGGGTGGGCCCGGGATTGAGGAAGTTGGGGCTACTGGAACGCCGAGGCAGACGAGAGGTTCGCTCAGTTTGACACGTCTCACAGAGGCTTACCCAGACCTGTCACTCACTTGGAGGAACAGTAGTTTCCAGCGAAGGTTCTGGTTTCTTACAGTCACGTAACCAGGAAACTAAGGAACTAAAAGTAGCTTTCCGCCACAACAGCTTTGGAAACCGCAGGCGTCTCGTCCTCTATCCTTCCCCAGCTCCGGAGGAATGGGGTTCTTTCTGCCTCACCTTCAGAATGGGCCCAAACGTCCTCTGCGGTGGATGCCTTTAAGTTTAGGAAGGAAAAGAGGAAGTTTAGGGTTTGGAGGGATTCTTGAGGGTGGTAACTGTTACCACTTGGCCTCTAACCAAAATCTTGGTTTGTGTCTACTCAAAGGCGTCTAGGAAGAAGCGCCTAGTTTTCAGCCACTGCAAACCTTTTGGAGCACAGCTTTACTCTGACAAACATAGGGCTGCCTTGAATTGGAGTCCACTCCACAACTTTTGGAGAGGGAAGGTTAGAGGGGTAGCATGAATCTGAGGACTGGGGCAATTACTTTCTTGGATTTGACTTTATATTATTTATCTTGAGTCATACATTTTCTAAAACTTTACAGATACCTGGTTTCAATTAGTAGCCACCAGCCTCATCTGAGGAGTCCTGGTGTGGCACTGTGAGTTAATGCGCTGGACTGCAAATCCAGTTGAACTGCAAGGTTGGCCGTTCAAGCTCACCAGCTGCTCCTT